TCCGACGTAAAAAAGTTCGCGAAAATTACAAAAATGTCACCTTATCTTTTTTACGTCGAATTTTAGTGTGTCTGACGTTAAAGAGGTAACGTAATATACTAATTTTCCACTAGTGTCAATATGTAAAAAGATAAAACTTAAGTACTCTTTTTTTTTTTTGCATTATAGTCTTAAAATAATTAAAAAAAATATTTGATATTAAAATCTACAAAATCATTTGAATTTAATCTTTTTAAAAAAATATATAAACATAATGTCTCTTTAAATAATAACTATGATTGTATAACCAAATATATGTTCTATGCATGACATAGATTAAACTTTAAATATAATAAAATTTGTTGGAGAAAAGATATACATTAGAAGAGGGGATTGAATAGTGTAGTAGTAAAACTTGACAAACGTAATGCTGAAATGCAATAGACGAAAGAGCACAAGTCTTTTATACTAGTTCGTCTCAAACACAGAGACTACGTTTAGTTCTCAATTTAACCAGATTGAGTTCCATTATCTTTCACAAGATACAAGTATTTTTTCAACAAGTCACTTTTGGCTCAATCTCAAGTAGTCTTTTACTTGCCTCTCAAAGTAAGCCCCAAGTATTCTTTAACAAATAAGCTTCTCTAGGCTTAATAACCAAATATTCTTTTAACTACAAGCCTCTCCAAGCTCAATCCTTACAAATAGAAATTTGAAAAGAATTATAGGGATAGTTTCGTTTCTCCTAGATGTGATGCTATGAAAATTAAGCACAAACAAATTGTACAAGATACAATTTATCTACAAGATATACACTTATAAATTTTTCACGATGTGATAACTTCATTTCTTGTCTCTTTTATTTCCTTGCTTGTACATATGTCCATACTTGTTGTCTTGATTGAGAATCCCTTATATAGTAGCTTGGAAGAAAATGACTGTTGAACAATCTTCTCAAGATGCTTCATTTGTCTTCTCTTCAAGACCAGAGAGTAAATTAGTCGTTGCTACAAGCATTTAATGCATTACGTGAAAATGTTCATTTCTTATCTGATCTTGGCAACTACTTACCATCATTTTGTTAGGTAGGATGAAAAGCAATGGCTAAATCAGAGCAGTGCAGCATGTTCAGAGTTCCTATATGTTTTTTTGTGATTTATGAGATTTTTCTTTTTCCTTCTTGACACAAAGATTGACTTTCCATTCCTAACAACTTTTGGTGTCTTCAAGGAAGCTATTTCATTCAATTCATTAAGAAATAAAGTATTCAATGCTCTTTAATAATAATCTGACTTGCTAATGAGAAATAAATTTTGTAGTGAGTTAAATTGTATGTTTCGTCTGATGTCTTTTGTCTTACAGACGAAATGTGATGTTTGCTTTGTTTGAAATAGTCTTTTCTTAAAGAAAAAAATATTTTGTTTGTTATCAATAAAATTTATAGACTATTGAGAGATCTAAGATCGTTTTTTGATTTTACAAAATTAATAACAAAAATTATTTTATTTACAAAACAAGTTATAAAGTGATTGTATTATTTTATAATTATAAATATTTCTAATAAAAAAATGTGATATTATAACCAAATGTATTTTATATGCTTGAATATTATCATTTTGTTTGTAATTTTAGAGAACTTAAACAACTAATTATGTTGTTTAAAGCGTAAAATTTTAGTTTTATAAACATATATATTTTGAATATGCGTGAAAACAGAAGTGAGGTGTGCATTCACATGTAATCTAAAACATCTGCTTATTTACTAAATTCAATAATCATTTCAACTGTATCTATATACAACATTAATTATCCTATAAATGCGACACCCTCTACTCCAATATACATATACAGTAATTATAAAAAAATAAAATTTTTCATCATAAAAGAAAACAAATTTCCAACCACGTAAGGGTAAAGAGCTCACATTCATAAACTTAATCCAAATAACATGCCGGTAAAATTACATAGAAATAAAACTGAGATTTTCAAAATAATTTAATAAGAACATCTTAAACTAATCCTATCTATGCCCCGATGTCACATGTCCTATCAGAGCAAAGCCCAACATAGAAGCCTAAGCTTCATCACCAACATCCTCAGCCTCATGCTGATAATCACCTGTATAATATTCAAAGAAAAACAACATGAGAAAAGGGAGTGAGAAACATCTTACTCTAGCTCACAGTGTAGAAATATACGTCGGATAGCCAAACACAAACAAAACAGGTATAACGTAGATAAATTAATAATAACATCACATCTCACTCATCCAAGACATAAACCATCACTTTATCATATAACATTAAAAATGCATAAGTATGGACACGGACTACATATTATCATGCATGTGACGCCAATAAAATATCACATGGCATATTGCCGATAGTAATACACGAAGAGTAGTCTAGGAGTACATGTCGGGTCACACCCTCTACACACTCTCACTAGAAGGACATACTACCAGGGTCTCGTCGAGATAGCTAAGCCGCGCAAGATACATCTGATGCACACAATGGGCGAGACTGGGACTTCAAACCGAGCTATCCCCAAGGACTAATCCCCAAAGCTTTTACACTAGGGGGTCTTCCCTGGCAGTGTATTCCATATCGTACCCTTAAAAACATTTATGCAAATGATGCATGTCAATCAAGACTCTATGCATTCTCATATAACATTTTCATGTCTCATTATCATATCACATCATCATGTCTCATTATCACTTTTCACATCATCTCATGATATTCACATAGTCTCTACAGAGCACTCAAAATCATATCAAAACTTGTCTATTTTTAAAAATAAACACATATTTATACATCTCATTCAACAAGGAATACATCAGAACAACCAGAAAGAAAAACATGTTTCTCATAGGGTTCCCACAAGAACCCACAGAACACTCTAATTCATACAATAAACATTTAAAACAATATAGTTAACTCATACAATTACCTGTTCAAAACATCTCCTCTTACAATCACCAATGCATTCCCTTAGGGTTTCCCATAGGAACCCATAGAGATCTCGGATCATACAATTAATTATATATAAGAAAATAATAGGCAAAACAGATACAATTGGGGAAAATCCCTCATACATGAACATACAAAAAAAAATACAACAAACACAGGATTGGGGGCCAATCCCACTACCCAACAGATATTTCCACACCCAAAGCGAGGTTTCTCACTCCTCCCTTACCTGGATAAACAAGAGCTGAAACTAAAGCTAGATCTTGCTAGTCCCTTCCTCTGGGTTCTCCCTTGGTCTTCAGAGAGTGTAGAAGAAAAAAGAGGTCAGAAGTGAAAAATGTGCTTTTAGGAGTGCCAGAGCGTTCTATTTATAGGCATCAGGAGTGGCCAGAACGGCCCATTTCGAATCTGGAACGGCCCATTCTGGACTCACTCGTCATGCTTAAATTTCACATTCAAAATGGCCTGTTTCAAAACTAGAATGGCCCGTTCTGAAATTACATTTTACCCACAACGGTCATGTCTGGAACGGCCTGTTCCCAAATCGAAACAGCCCGTTCTGGCTTCGCATTTTACTCATAAAATCCTGGGTTGGAACGGCCCGTTCCAATATAGTCTTTATAGGCCATTTAGTAGTTTGGAACGGCCCGTTCCAGTTTTAGAACGGCCCGTTCTGGGTTACTAAAAATCAAAATATTATCCAAAAATAATTTTCATAAATATTTATTATTAAAATACTAATAATTATTAAAAACCTTTAAAACATCCTATAAAACCTATTAAAATAACTATAAGAAAGAAATCCCTATAAATATAAAAATAAATAATAATTACCCATTATACTAGTAGAAAATTTGGGATGTTACAATAAACTAAAATTTCAATTTTTTTTCATATTTGACTTTCATTTACACTTCATATCTCTAATCTTAATATATTTGTCCAAAGTCATTAAAAATTTGGCTATAAGTTGATTTTTAGTTTTCTAAAACGCTGTTCTTTTGTCTTTGAATATATATTTCTAGTACATTAGAATTTTTAAGTTCTTGAATTGCTAATTTTATCTTTAATTATGTATTAATCATTAGATTATAATAACATTTTAACAAACTCAAATACACTATTATTTGTCACATAATTTTACATAAATAATTTCTCTTATATGTAGCATGAATATATTGCTAAAATTTGAATGTCTAAAAAGAAAAAAGTGTTTAATTGGAAATCTAATTATTATGTATAACTATTTTATTTTTCTTATTATTTGATATATTTTTATAATTTAATCTTCAAAATAGTTTATTTAAGAATACAACATTATCCGTATTAGCATGATTTTAATTATTTTGGTGGGCATACTTCTACAACAAATTTTTCTAACTGTATTGAGTATAGTGTTTATATTTTATATAATATTATATATTTTTCAATTAAATATATTTTACTAGAAGTAGAATAATCATTTTGTGTGATATTACAATAATTTATAAAAATGAATTTTATTTATGTCTAATATAAAATTTTGTATTATATACATTTCTTTGTACACATTTTCATCTAATTATTTTATTCTCGTTTAATGTAGAAATATTCAAACAATATTTATTTTACAACTAATTAATAAAAGAAAACTCTTGTGCATTGTTTTATTAAGAAAAAAGTTTTAAAAAATAAGATAATGACCGTATTTGTTGTTAGTGGTAACAATATATTTTTTAGATGTAATGGCAAAATCGACTCAAGCATAAGGTTGTCCAAGTCTTAAATTTAAGCCTCAAAATATTTTTTTTACTTATAAAACTTGATGAATCAGTTATATGAATACTAACTTTGATTTGTTGATCATTATCTAAGTCTAGCATTATAAAGACTAGAGTTCAATTCTAATATTATAATTTTTTTGTTGAAAGTTTTTTTTTTTTTTGAATGATTATTAATTTTCTTACCATTCTCTTGTCTTTAAAAAGACTCAACTTTAACACTCGTTTTAAGTCTCAAAGTATATTGGACCGACCCTGTATAACGGATCGTGAAGGCTACAAAATGTGAATGGGAAAATAAATTAAATATTAAGGTAAATGAAATAGAGTAAATATGAATAAATAATGGATATGATGTGGTCGGAACTACGATTTAAGATATTGATCAATAATTTTGTCTTTACAAGATGTACCTTTTTGCTTTACTGGATCTGCCCTCCTCTTAAACAACCCTTCAAAATTTACAGAAGCCAACTCAATTGGACGTATATGGATTACCATTTACCAATAATCATTGCAAGAGCATTTCCCATCCTTGATATGATGAAACCGGTTTGCATCTCTCACCACAATCTCTCTTCCAGTGACTATTGATATATACTTTATTGCCGTATGGCAGTCCCCACAAACCCGAAGATTCTTAAATACTCTAATAGGTTTTGATTTCAGGGTACTAATAAGAGCAAATGCCACTGCAATTTTTTCACTGTGTTGAAACAGATACTGTTCCTTCTGTTCATCCTCCACGTCATGAAGAACATAATCTGTATTTGGGACATAACCCAAGTTCTTTATTTTTAAAGCCAATTCATCAAGTTCATCATATATCTTTTGAGCCTGGGGGTGTGAAGTATCCCCTACATGGAATTTGTGCACTTGGTTGTCAACTTCAATCCAGCTATAACCTGTTTCTTTTATTAATCTTTTCTGTTTCATGCTTTTTCTTATGGCTGCAACATCATCCCACCTCCCTTCTGATGCATACAAGTTTGACAATAATATATAGGTAGCTGGATCACGTGGTTCCCGCTCAAGAATCATTTTTGCAGCATGCTCCCCGAGCTTGGTGTTACGATGTACCCGGCAAGAACCAAGAAATGTACGCCACACCAATGCATCAGCATCAAAAGGCATCGAGTTAATAAAGTCAATGGCTTCTAAAAGAAAACCAGATCGACCAAGCAAATCAACCATACATGCATAATGTTCCATCCTTGGAACGACACCATGGTTATAATGCATAGAATTGAAGTGTTTCCATGCCTCATCAATCAAACCAACGTGACTACAGGCGGATAAAACCGCAATATAAGTCACGTCATTAGGCTTTACACCAATTTCAAGCATTTCATAGAACAATTCTAAAGCTTTTGTAGCAAATCCATGTTTTGCAAAACCACTTATGACAGATGTCCAAGTTATGACATTGCGATCCCCCATGTCATTAAAGACCTCCAGAGCAGCTTCTTTGTTTCCACACCTGGAATACATAGATATTAAAGCATTATTAATGCACAGGTTAGTTCCAAACCCCGACTTTACTACGAGGGCATGGATTTGTTCACCCTTACCAATTGTACCTATACAAGCCGCACCACTTAAGAGGCATGCATATGTAAAAGAACTGGCTCCAATACCTGTGTGCTCAATTTCTTTAGCATTTGCATCGACAGCTGTACTGTATGAAATCAAATTCTTGTCAAATAAGATATCGAAAGCTTTTTGAGCACATTCCATTCTTCCAGACCTTGCATACATGTTAATAAGGGAATTCCCCACACAATTAATCGAAGCAAGGCCCAGTTTAATTGTCTGGCCATGAAGTTGCTTGCCAAAGCCAAAATTAGGAAGATTTGCACAAGCCTTGATGACGCTGGAGAATGTGTAGCAATTTGGTGCAACGTGACCAGGAAGCATGTTACAAAACAATTTGATAGCTTCCTCTTCTTGTCTGCCTTGCACATATCCAGAGATGAGAGCTGTCCAAGACATAACATTATGGCGCGGCATTCTATTAAACATTTTCCTACAATTTTCTACTGATCCACATTTTGCATACATGTCCACCAGACTGCAACCCACACACACATCTGAACCCAATCCAGACCTGATAACCCAAGAATGTAATTGCTTCCCAGGTGATAACAATTCCATCTCAGCGCAGCTTGATAAGAGACTAGTAAGAGTAAAACTATCAGGTGTATACCCACTTACTAACATTCTGCAGAATAAGTCAACAGCATCACCCAGCAAACCCAGTTGTGCAAATCTAGTAATCATCAAATTCCAAGTCACTACATTTTTGTCCTGCATTTTCTCAAACACCATGCGTGCAGATTCGATATCAGCGCCGCCCTTTATGAGCATGTCGATTAAAGCACAACCAACGCAGACATGAGAATCAAAATATCCGGTCTTTAATACAAAGCCAAAGATTACACGCCCAATGGGTAAATATTCAGCATTGGAACAAGCTCGAATTGACGCCGTAAAGCAATATTCATTAGGATAAATCCCGTGCTGGAGCATGCGAAGGAACGTGACAAGGGCTCGGGACTCCATGCTGTTGTTGGCAAAACATGAGATGATGGCACTCCAGGAGACCAAGTCTCTCTTATTACTACCCATGTTCCGAAATATTGAAAGTGCGTTTTCCCATTCCCCGCATTTAGAGTAGAGGCTAATTAGCGAGTTGAGAAGAAGCGAGTCCAGGTCGAGTCCTGACTCGGTCAACTTTTGGTGAAGGAGTTTCCCAAGCTCCAAGTTACCAGACCTGATGCAGGCTTTGAGGAGTTTGTGTGGCGTGCGGGCGCTGAGACTGCGTGCAACACTCTCAAAATTTAAATCCTTCGCATCTGAACTTCCATGAATCGCTGACGTTACAGTCACAGAAGAAGGAAGGCATAGGCTTAAGCTCAGCATTTCCCACGCAACAGCTAATCCTTTTGTTTGTACCAGCTATGCATATTTATGGAGGGAGAGCGCTACCCACATAAAAGCAAGCTTTTCGAGCTCACAAAATTAGGGGGGCAAATTATATTATTTTAAGAGAATTTTTAGAGTAACCAACTTGAAGGGTTTTGGTAAAATCAAATAAATTTATTGTGAAATGAAAGATAATATTTATTTTTACTCTTTATTACTATCTTTCTTTTCATAACATGCTATTAAAATGATATTCTTTCCTTTATTAGCGTTAGTATAATAATCTTTTTTTTCATTGATGTTAACTCAATAGTCTTTCTTCCATTGATGTTTCAATTAACTATTCTATCTCTAATCATATTTTTCATATTATTTATTTCATTAAATATTTATATTATTCTTATGATTGTAAAATTTATTTAAATACAATTAGTTTTGAACGAAAATAAATTATAAGAATATTTTTATAATAGTCTAAAAAACATTATCAAATGAAAAAAAATTTAAGTATATTTTTTCTCACCAGAAATGAAAAAATTGTGCAATAATAAAAATAAGAATTTTTTTATCTCACTTAGTGAGAAAATAATACAAAAAATAAAATAAAAAAATCAGTAAAAGTGGAACTTTTTTTTTTCAAAATGTGAAAAAAAAAAATGATAGATAAAGTAACAAATATGGTATAAATATTATATTTGATCTTTTGATATAAATAAAAGCACTACCGAAAATGAAATAATTTTGTAAAGGTCATAGTTACGATATTAAATGATATTTGGGACAATTCTAAAAATTATGGATAGTGAAATGATCCTTAAACCTTTTTAAGTTTATGTGTAATTTCTTGAAAGGATTATAAATCTCATGTTTGTAATTTGATATTGTTCCGAAATAATTGACACACCATGTTATTGAATCTATGTGTTGTGCTATTAAATCTTAAAGGATTTAGTTTCAAATCTTATTAATTAAATTGGTGTTATATATTTTCTTACATGTTTATTATTATATCATTACTAAATTGGTGGAGAGATAAACACATATCCCTCATAATCATCCAATTATAATTTGATTACAATTTGTACAAAAGTAATAAAATTTTAATAAAAATATGATTAATTTTTATTTCTTTAATTTTTTTATAACATTTATAAAGAGAATAATTTTTAAAATTTTTAACATTATTTATTTTCTCCTTAAAGTCAACAAGCAATCACATAAATATATTTTTATTAAATAATTCTTAAATTATTTTATCATAATTATTATAATGAGAAAGATTATTTTTTTTAGTATACCAAATCATTAATTTCCCAAAATTATGAATTAAAGTGATACCGAAATACGTCTTCTAAAAATATATCAAATCAAGAAGTAGAGGCTTGAATTACGTAATCAATGACAGAAGCCCAACACTCTTCATGTGTCAGACTATAATCTTCTATGTATTTGTCTCTATTTGGTATCTTCTTTACTTTGATCTTGTTTGCGAGCCGGAATCACTGGCTCGATTAGGCATGGCAACGGCAGGGTAAGGGCGGGTTTTACGTTTCCTGTTCCGTTTCTGTAAATTTAAATCGTTTTTGTCTCAGTTCTCGATATTCATTGAGGATAAAATTTAAGTTTTCATCTTCGTTCTCGAAAGGGTTCGGGTTTCCCGTTTCCGCTCCTATTTTTTTTTATAAATAAATATGAATAATTTTAAAAAATAAAAGAAAAGTAAAATAATATAAATTTTTACATATAAATATTTATAATTTTAATTTATATATATAAAAATAATTTTTTAATTATATTATTAAGCGGGACGGGGACGAGTATGGGGGCAGGGGCGGGTATGGGGCGGGACGGGATGAGTATTAACATTCCCGTCCTCGTCCCGCTTCTAATTTTATCAATCAGAGAAAATCTGAACCCGAATCGAAACTCGATATACACAGATTTTTCTCATCTAAATCGGGACAAGTTCGGGCGAGTACCCATGAAAGCGGGTTAGATTGTCATCGATGACAGTGCTCTCCGCACTATGCCTCTTCTTCGTAGTGTTGAATTTTTCTACACTTCCGAGTTGTTGCACTTCGACATGGCGCGAGGTCCTCCGTGAAGCTGCCGTAACATGTGGCTAGAGGTGTTCAAAGAAATTGAATATGTGAACTAAATTAAACTTAGAAAGTAATTTTTCTAAATTGAATTAAACTATAAAATATTTTAGAAAAGTTAAACTGAATTATTTTTTAATTTAATTAACTACTAGTATTTTATGTTTATTATATATAATTAACAAAATTGAAACACTTTATATTTTTATATTTTATTTGATAATTTTTTTTTAAATAAGTTTATATTTATTAAATCAACTGATATTATATTTGATTCTTAAATTTTAAAATCTTTAGTATTTATAAAAAAAAATTAATTTAAATATTATATTTATCATTTAAAAATTTAAATGTAAAATTATCTAAAAACATATGTACACCAAATTATTTTTATATATGTTATAGATTAAAATTATATATAAATAAATAATATATTTAAATATACAAATTATATTTAAAATTAATATATATAAATACTTTTAAATATAAAAAATATATTTTTAACTTATGATAAATAATTTGTATTATAATAAATTTATTTTTATTTTTATAAATTATTTTAAAATATTAATATTTAATTCATAGATAATTATGATAAATAAAAATCAAATTAAATTAAAAGTTAAAAAGAATTCTACAAAGTTTTTCATTGAAAAAGAATTCCTAACTCTTGAATAAGGTACAGATGTTCAAGGTTAATAGTTCTAAAACTTTGAAGTGTATTTTAATTTAAATTGAATTAAATTATTGTTTTTATTATAAATTGAAATAAACTGAAAATAAACGTCTTTTAAATTTCAAAATAACAATTTTTTTCTCTCTAAAACTTATACTAAAAATAAATTTATTTATTTATAGTTGATTTATTCATGATTATTACACTATTTTTCAATAATTTGATTTTTCGACCATGTTCAAAAATTAGGTCGGTGTTTCTTTACAACGATTATGAAAGAAAACAGTCGTTTAATAAGACTCTACTTTTTAATCATTTTATGAATCTTCTTGAATAACAAATAAAAAATAAAAAATAATATTTAAATATTACTTGTATATATTTTTTAGTTAATACATTACAAAATAGTAAGACTATTAGAAAAATATTATAAATAAAAAATATAGCGTTGCTTTTATAATTTTGCTGACTCAATGGTTATGTTCAACTAATACTACAGTTTGTTTATTATAAATAATATTTTTTGTTACATTAAAAATAAAATTGTCTAAATGATAAAGAGATAAGTTGACATAGGCACATAAATATAAATACGATTTTATTCAAATTTTAAGCATTTAATATTGTAGAAAAAAATTTAAACATTTAATTAAATTGGAGTTAATTAAACTGCAAATTCACCGTGATAGTAATTGTATATTTTTTTACAAAATATATAAGTATTCTTTTCAGAATAATATATATATATATATATATAACATAAAATTATTTATATTATTATTTAATTAAAATTGATAAGTTTGTTGAATTTGGTAATTATAATTTTACAATAATAATAATAATTAGACAAATTTTTATCGTAATAATAAATGAAAATTAAATTCCTCTCTTAATGCAAAAATTATTTAACAAAAACTATATAATTAGTTTAGGGTATGATTTTACTTGCTTGACAAAGCTCATAACATCTAAGATGTTACTTAATTGAAGCCTCCATGTATCAAGGTTTTATATTTGATTTTTTTTTTAATTAAACCAGGTAAAGAGCTTTTACTTGGCTGGAATGTTCTTGTACTAGAATTTTATACTTAGGGTTTTAATTAAATTTGGCCAAAAACTTTTACTTGTTCGAGATTTTCTCATACCAAGATTTTATACTTGAAACTTTTTTTAAAATTAAACTTGACTAAGAGCTTTTACTTGATCAAGATCTTCATGTACCAAGATTTTATCCTTGGATTTTTAGTTAAACTTGGTTAAAAGCTTTTACTTGAGCAATATCTTTGTGTACAACAAAATTTTATACTTGAGTTTTAAATAAGGGTGATCGAGAGCTTTTACTCGGTCGAGTTCTTCACGAAGAAAAATGGAACTGTATATGTAGGAATGGAGAATCTTTTTATTAAAAATGATATTGGTGTGCCTTGTTAAAACTTATACGACCAAAACCCTTTCATTTTTTATGGGAGAAAAGACTATTGGTAGAAAAAAAGTACAACACATCATTACAACATCAACTATAATAATACTTTAAGTGTGATACATTCCAAGTTCTTGGAATCTCCTAGTTGGAAAAATGCTCAAGTTTATACACTCAATTGTTCAAACTTTGAGTAACTCTAAAGGGTCTTTCCTAGTTTGTACAAAGTTTTCCTTCTATTGGATCCGTCCTTACTTCACTTTGCACTCTCCATACCAAATATCCCTCTTGAAATTCCCTCTTCACTAGTTGAGAAGCATAGCTCTAGCTTCCCCTTCTATGAGATTATGTACTCTTCGATATTAAAATATGTCAAATAATACTTATAGGAGAGGTTTTTCTTACTCTCGACAACTCCTTAGCCCATTTACCTTTCGTCTTTCCTAATCTCTTCTTCAAATCTTTGAGAATAACCTTGTTGGACACCTCTTTTGGCCATTCATATGAGGATTCTCAATAGAGGAAACATGGTGTTGTATATGTTGAATCTTAAAGAACTCATTTAGTCCTTTATCCACAAACTGCCTAGCGTTATCATTAATTATTGTGTTAGGGAATCTGAAACAACAAATAATATTCTTTTAGATGAATTGTTGTACTTTTTGGTAGTGATAGGTGTGAGGGTTCTACCTTAATCCACCTGGTGAAGTAGTCAACAACTAGCAACAATAGTTTTTACTAAGCCTTAGTGGGAGGATGGGGGAAAGGCCTAGAATATCGATACTCCATGTTGTTGTGTGTATGAGGTCCCATGTTGTTGTGTGTATGAGGTCCCATATTGTTGGCA